TCCACCCTAAAGGCTGATTTATACTCAGAAACCAGGTCGTCTGCGTGTGAGGTCGGCAGATCGTCTGCCCCCATTTCCTCACCGCCTCGGCCGTATCTAGACCCACAGCTAGTTCCTGATTGTCCCTCTTGCGTTGTGGCGTGGAGTAACATAGTGCAGACAGTGCTTCAATATTGGGCATAAATCAAAAACATCTGCAACACGCTCACTGCGACACACTGCTGCGGGAGTATACCCAGCCCTTAATATGGGAATGATTTTAAACTCAGGTATAGTGCATTTAAGATGTACACACAATTGCAATTTTTTTACATGCTAACTTCAAAAATCAATATAAAATAACTATTTCTCCCTAATAAATATAAACCCTAAAAATAGAAAACATCTAAACTGTTTTTACATATCTGCTTGTTAGAAGAGCCCATTGAAAGAATCCGAACTACAAATTTCATTCTGCTTGATAAGCAAGGGAGACATGATGAAGTTCAGGATTCCAGCAACCAAGAAGAAAACACATTTCTAGTGGAAGGTTTCGTCTCTATTTAGGCAATGCTAAATTCTTGTTTGTTTTTGAATATTTCAAATTGATTTTCAAGCTTGTTGGTTTAAGTAGGTTAATGTTTAGGGAAGCTTGGGAGGGTTGGATTGGGTTTTTAGATTTGTGTGTTTGTTTATGTTCTCTTTCTGAGCCGATATTTGTGAATCCACCAAATAATTCTCTACATGCAGGTCTAAATGGGGAAAAATTTCTTATCTCCAGAGCTAAAAAGTGGGGTAGACTGAGAAAGGAAGGGAATCTTTCATTCCCACTGTTGCTATCTTCTTGTTTGAGGAATTGCTGAGAGGGCAATGCCTCGATGCATTTCCCTTGGCTTTACTAAATTGATACTTTTGACATCTTGGCATCTTAAACAGCATTAGACTGTATTGAATTATGTTTATCATTATCACAGTGTGTGTTAGAATGACTGAATTGAACCGATATAAATTGTATTTATTGTGTCAAATATGTGTTAAATATGTATACGGCCGACCCGGGTTCGCATCCGACTTGTGGTCCTTTGCTGCATGTCTCTCCCCCTCATACCTCCTTTCCTGTCAGCCTACTGTCGAAAAATCGAGCCCCTAGTGCCGTAAAAACTCAACAAAAACAAAGTATAATTTGAAACAAAGTAGACCCAGCTTTTAATGTGAAGGATCTTTAAGTTACATTGGCTGTGAAATAGCAGGATATAAACAGTACAAACTAAATTCAGACACTTGTGTTGTATTTTAAAGACTTGGTATGTAAATTATTGTTTTAAAAATTTGGTTCAAATTATTCAGCTGTAAAGTTATTATGCTTTTAAATAAACACACCAACATTGCCATAGAGAACACAACATGTATGTATGTCAACAATAGCTTTAACACAAAGTACCACAGTAGTAAAGGAAAGAGTCAAAACACCAGGTGTCACACCTGGCGCTGAGCTTAGAATAACAAAAAAGACTCGAATTGGCAGGAGCAGCAGAGATGGGCTTTAAGAAATGTAAACATACACTAAGGTAAAAACTACAAGGACTGAGCAGGAAACAGCCTGGACAGTTTAAATCAACACCTTCTTAGAAGGGAGAAAAGCTCCATGTGCAAAGAAATGTCATAAGGGAAATAAAAACAAGTTTTCTGATGGATGTTTTCAAGCAACAATGAATCACGGGGATGTCAGTCAGGTCTGTGGAGTTCTATACTGTAGCAGGTGTTTGGGTTGGAGCATGAGGAGAACTGGCTTCTGGAAGCAACACACATAGAAACTGTGACAGCCACCAGACTCGCTTGAGGATCGAACCCCTGTTATACTTTTGAAAACTTGTCCTGATAAATCTGCACACCTTGACAGCTTAGTAGAGAGGGAGGGAAATGTCATTCTGTTTTTTTTCCTGCCCAATAAGTGACACAGTTAAGAATAGAATGATCTTTATTTGGACAGCTGAGGAAAAAGTGTGAAAGATTCATAAAAGACATATTGCACTTTTAGCTCATATAAAAATATTTGTTTAAAGAATTGACATTGTTAGCTGACAGCTTGCTGTCGATTGTTAAAGTGAAAAGTCAAGAGTTGAATGGGATGAAAAATCTCAGGAAATAAGAATTATTGGACACTGATTCTTCTTCTTGAGGCATATATTTGTTCGAGTGACATTTAATGAGCTACGTTTGCAGCTGAGTATCAGTCACCTTTTGATGCAGTATATTGACGCAGTTCTCAAAGAGCAGATTACTTGCATAAACATGAGTTTAAGCAAGAGGGCCAACTGCCCAGTCTATTTGTGGTATATAACCTGAGATATTGATCTACTGAATATTTCATCGGATCAATAATCTTACTTTGAAGTAAAATTTGAAGAGCTCTTTTGCCCTTTTCAATCTACAGTGCTTTAGCACTTTTTTCCACCTTTTGCTACATTAATATAAAACATTTAAATGTGTTTTAATTGAATTTGATTTGTTTCTGGGAATGTGACGTGATGTTTTTGCATTTATGTTCCTCTACTCTGCAACCGGCTACTTTTAAAAGTTACCTAATTGGTAGATTTAATATCAATGAGGGCTTTAGGGGCTTGTAAGAAAAAATAAGTAACTAACAGCATCAGGAAGAGCAAGGAGCAAAGCAGACAAGTCAGAGAGAAGGATGTGGATAATTTATAGCAGGGTTAGGTTATGAAAATATAATAGGCTTTTAATGTCTCACAGAATTCTGTTCAATTAATCACACAGACAGGGGTGTCAAAATATTTTTTTTCTGGGTCACTTCAGCTTTATGCAATCTTTAAAAGGGGAGGTTGCAGCTGCATAGACAACATGTTTGATCATTTACTAAGAATACACTTGTCTGGTGTTATAATAATTATTCCCCTTTATTTATTAGTTTTACCCACTTTGTACATTTTGAAAGTACATACATCTCTATTTTATGACATGGCTCACCTATTTTGACTCCTAAGAGCTGGATAAATTGCTGTAATGGACCAGATTCAGCCTGCGGGCCTTGGGGTTATACATAGACATATGGAAAGAGTATAAAAAAATTGCAACCCTTTAAACTGGCAGACAGGTTCTAAAAATGTTAAATAGATTAACTATACGAGAGGTCGAAGGGTAACTCTGGAGGAGCTGCAGAGATCTACAGATTCACAATCCACAAATCTGTGTGACCATATATATGTTTTTAGTTACATTCAAATGGTAAATGGCATGTACTTATATAGCGCCTTTTTTCAAGTCAGGAGACTTGACCAAAGCGCTTTACACTACATTCATTCACCCATTAACGCACACACTTACACACTAATGGTGGAAAGCTACATTGTAGCCACAGCTGCCCTGGGGCTCACTGACAGAAGAGCTGTGTGTGATAGAACACTTCACATAAACCTGAACACACCTACCTAGTAGCAGTATCAGGATGCACTGAAACTCATCTTCAGGTGGACAGTGAAGCTGATCAGAGTTGTTCAGAGGAAGATGAATGCAGCTAAATACAGGTCAATCCTGGGGCTGCAGAAAATTGAATTTAAAACTCAGACAAACCTTCACTTTTCAGTAGAACAGTCACTCAAAACACACAGACAGAACTAAAATTGAATGGTTTAGATTAAAGGATAATCACAAGCTAGAGAGGTTTAGTAAAAACCTAAATCTAAATCCAACTGGGAATCTGCTCCAAAAGTGATAAAAGTGAGAGAAGAGAATCAGCTTGATTGTACCACAATGGGGAAATTCAGAGCTGAAAATAGCTAAAGCAAGTTAAAGAAAGCTTACAGGTATGCAAAAGACTAAATAATATAAAAAAGAAAAAGAAAATAACATTAAACTGCACAGCAGAGAAGAAAAACATATCTCTATAAGATAAAAAAAAAAATACTGTAAGGTTAACATAAAAAGCATTGGCAAGTGAAAAGCTTAAACATTTTAGAAAGAATAACTGTAGCTGCTTTACAAAATGACTATACACTGCTCAGAAAAACAAAGGGAACACGCACACAACCCAATATAACTTCAATCAAACTTATTTTGTTGTGTTCTTGTTTTATAATGATAAACATGCCTACATATTGAGGGTATGTTATTGTCTTTAATGCTTAATGACTACATTTAATGTCAATCTGAGCTAATGATCCAAAAGAATTTTGCTTGGATCAACTATAGAAAAATATACAGTAGAAATGCACAACACACTTTCAGATTTTAGTAATCTATCTTACTTGCAGGACTTCAAACGGATCATTAAAGTTTTTTGTCACATGAATGAATATCAAAATACTTCTGCAAAGGCAGTGTCCTTACTTTGGTGAAACGAGCACAGGCACCAGATTTCACTGTTGGTGAGATTGTGAAGGTGATGAGCAAGCAGAGGAGAGCGGGAAGGGTGGAGACAAGAGAGTCACAGAGAGGGGATGGGAGTAGAATGAGCACTACGCTGCCTCTTCTTTCCTCTCCAGCACTTCTCCAGGGGAAAAAAAGCAGTATCACTACAGCCACTGTTAGGCAGGACCATTTGTTTGTGTATCCTCATTCACAGAGACGACCCACATCTGTCAGCGTCCACTCCAGCTGGGAAACCTTTCTGCACTGAATGACTGAGAGGGAGACGGGAAGAAACAGGGGAAATCTGAGGGGAAGGAGATCTTTACCCTGCTGCAAGCCTGAAGAAGGGATGGATTTCTGCACAAAGTGAGCAAAGAGAAGAAAACTGCATATATTGAGGTATGTAACTATTTTTCTTTTATGTGTGGAGAAAAAAATGTTGATGTTTATATTGGGAAGTTTGCAAACAGTTTAGTGAAAGGCAACATGAGCAAAGAAAGGAGCTAAATTGGTATGCAAAAGGGGATTTTACAAAAAAAAACTAACAGTACTTTGAGGATAAAAGAGAAGAGGAAAGAAAATCAGGAAATTTTAACACTGCACTGTGTTGCTGCATCCAGTTAACAAGGTTAATGTAAGAGTGGGGCAAATATTCATGGAGGCATTCATTCTCAAACCTAGGCAAAAGGAACAAGCTTTTAATGGGGTAGTGGTGATGAGTTGGGTGATTGCATCCCTAGAGGGGGGAGGAAAAAATGGAAGTGTCCTCTCAGGGTAATGAGAACAAAACAAGGTTTAGTTTGTGTTTAAAATCTTGTATGACTCACCATGCGCATGGTAATAAACAGAGAGTAAACAGGCTGCTCAAAGATACTGTGTCAGTATCAAACTTGAAGGTGCAGCTACAGTAGGCTACACTCTGAAGCATAAGGGGTAATTAAGAGAGGAATATGAGAGGAAGGTGTAAAAGTACGCTTTACCAGGGGGATGACACAAAACACACACACATCAAAGCAATACAGCTCATTATCTTCGCTGGCCATTGACCAAAAAAACAAAACAAAAAAAAAAAACAAGTCTAATATTTTCTATTCAATTGGATCACAGTTTCTGACAGCCTGCGTGGGTCTCCGCTCATTTTACCTCACTGTCAATTATCATAAGCATTTTGCAGGTCCTTTGAAACGTCGTCCCAATTTGCGCCTTTTGAAATCGACACACTTTAATGCCCTGCATATCTGAGAGAATCACATAACAGCCACGCTTACAGAGTGCCTGACCCCTGCTGCGGCTCTGAGTGCATTCAGGTGTGCTGCTGGGAGATTGTGTCATTCACATGTTAAAAAAGAAAAAAAAAAAAGAAAGAAGCAATGAATAACCGCCAAGACTATTGTCTGTGGATCCTATCATCTCTTTCTCCAAACTATAAGCCATGATTGTTCTTTATTGGCAAACCAAGCGGGAGAGAAACCAATTGTTGTTTAACAAGAAAAAGAAAATGTATTAAGCCTGTGATGCTGACTGAAGCATCACTTTTCTTTACACTTTGATCATCCCTGGATATCCCCCACCCCTGCATGGGTTATCTGTGGTATTTGGGGCTGCAGTAGTCGTTTGGAATTCATGAGGTTAAGCTTGAGGTCTGTTTTTAGTTGATCTGGCTCAGAAGATGGGATTCTTGACATGGTTGGAATTCAGGCTGCTTTTATCTCCTGCTTTTTCTTTTTCAGATGAATCTACTATTTGAGTAAAGCTTGCATATTTGCAACATGAAAATTTGGACATTTTTCATAGGTGTGTGAACATACGTAAATTTGTGTTGTAGGCTTATCTTTAATTTTATTTTTCAGCTGTATAATGCAAGTACAGTATGAGAGAGCAAGAACAGACATGCATACAGTCAGAGAAAACGGCCCAAATGCCGTGACATTTGGCCACATCTAGATGTTGTGCATTATTCATGAGTGAGAGATCTAACAGCAGGACTGATCAGACGGTGAGAATAGGTCCCTCTGGGAAGTTTGTATTTCAGTAAATATTTGCAAACTCTACAAACAGGGATTGTTACAGTTATCTCTAGGCTACTTTGTGTTGTAGATATTCGAAGCTTAATTAGAAACAGCAGGGAGCTCCACACAGAGTCCCTGAATTAAATGATAAAAATAAAATAATAACATGGGAATTAGTGGGGGGGGAAAACAGAACAAGTGAATAAAGGTGTGATAAATCTAAGTTGTTTTGCGATTATTGCAAAGTCATTTTGGAACATATTGAAAGGTTTGTACAGAATTTACTTTAAGTAGTAGACTTATCTAAATTGTTTAAAGCACATTTTTAAGGCGTAACATTAAACTATTTATACTTTACAACTACAGACTCTAAAATGTGGTGGGTTATAAAACCCTTTTGGGTCCTACTATAAAACATGGTTAAAGTTGCAAAAAATAGGTGGGTTATAGATTTAACCTTGATTATCAGATTATGTTTTAGGCTTCCAAATCTGTGGCTTTAAGTGGATTTTGTCTTATGATAAAGCTACCAAACAATGGTTTGAAAAGAATACTGAATCATAAACTAAATGTTTCATGACTATGGTTGAAATATAAGTTCTTTTCGGGTTCATTCTGCATCAAAATGTCAGTTAGAAATGAGTTGAAAGTTGAAAAATAGGGAGCTAAAAGTAAAATAAAACGCGTTTAAACGACCACGTCATTGGAGAACACAGAGTAATACATTACTCTCAACAACACACCCTGAGTCGAATGTTAGGGAAAACAGATGTTTTTCTGTAAGAGGCATAAAAAACAAAACTGGAGAAGCCTGTCTAGTTTAGGAAAGGAGAATATTTCAGAATTTTGCAGCCATGAATGAAAAAGCCTGATCACCTCTGAGCTTCATCCTTGTTTTTTGTGAAAATTGGAAAATAGCCAATCCAATGATCTTGGCCCCGTGAGAAGGAACATAAGCCGGAAGTAGGTCAGAGATGTGAAAGTCCATTATGGCATTTATAGGTCAGCAGGAGAATGTTAAAATTGATTCTGGGACTCACAAGGAGCTAGTGAGGAGAGGGTAAAAGCATTAAAATATGGGCAAACCTGTGAACTCTGAAAAACAACTGCAATGCAGAAGTCAAGTCTACCTGAAGACAGGAAAGGAATAGGTCACAAAACCCCAACAAAAAGGGCATTATGACAATAAAAACAGGTTAGAACAAAGGCATGGACATGTAGATACTTTACCTCTGATTTTATTAAATGAAAAGGTAAACTAACTGACAGCAGAAAGCGAACCCAGAACATGATTGGACAGATTATATGAGGAGGAACAAGTAACACAACAACTGAGCAGAGGCATTTAAGCTCAGGCAGCAATGACAAAGCAAGGAGCAGGGGAACGATTACAAAATGGTAACTACTGTAACAATTAAAGCACGAATCACCTGCAAAAGGTTAAAGGAAATGACTAAACCAAACAAGTACTTTAAAGAACTAGCATAAGTGATAAAAATAATTAGAAACTGGATAATTGATCCCAAGAGATACAACAGTGACAAAAATACAAACAAAGGAAAAACAGGAAGTAAAGAGAGGAGTGAACTGAATGCACTGATGGTGGTCTAAGGGCCCAGTGATGCCTGGGCATTGCAGTTTTGCTACTGTCAGTGTGCCCCACGTCAGCTGTGACTACAGTTCAGCTCACCACCAGCAGTCGGAGATTGGCCTAATGTGGTTTAAAGCACTTAGGATTCCTCTCATTTGAAAAGGTGCAGTATGAGTAAAGGCGAAGAATGAGCCTTTGAGATTAAGCATCTGTGTTGATCATGCAATCAATGTGGTCCCTACATGGCATATATGAGGAGCAACCTTGCTAATATAGTGCTAAATTGTGTGTACTTCATTGCTATTAAGAAGGAAGGCAATGCTATGGTTATTTTTTACAGGGTAATTGTTTCATGACTGAAATAAAAGGTTGATATGAGACACTATGGTGGTGGTAAGACTGCCATATTTAAAGATCAAAACCTAGATCAATAAAGTCAGAAAATAACCTGCTGGCATTAAATGTATAGTATGTTATTCCTAGCATTTATTATTTTTTTTTGTCTGGAAGAATTCCAGAAATTCAGAAAAAGTCAATAGAATGTTCAAAATGGAGGTTTTTGAAAAATGTTTCTATCTGAATCACAATTTTTTATTATGTTTATTTAAAACGATCAAAATTATTTTCCAAAACCATATAATCTACAGTTTTTCAGGATATATTAAAGATAACCTGAGCTGAATACATATAGGACATTGACATTGAAGATTATACAGAGATGGAGGAGAAAAAAATGAGAAGCATGCAGGAGACAGATTGAGAAAGTGGAACAGAGGAAGCTATGCGGCACAAAGTCTCTGGAGGAGTTTTGGCTGAATGTGCTTCTCTAACAATGAATAGGACTTTTTGAGGAGATCGAGCAGATGAAGGAAAAGCTTGAGCTCCGAGAGTCAAAGTTCACCACACATACAGCTGGATAGGGGACCAAACGCACTAAAGCTTGAATTTACAGAAATCCTGGAAGATTCTTTTAAGAGGCAGACAGGCTAGTTTAAAGGAAAGACAGAGCAAAGAAAACTGTGCTGACAGTTAAATAGCTGACAAAAGACTTTTTTTCTTTTTTTTGAGAAGAGCAGGAATATGTCTGCAAGGAGCCACTAATAGGCTGCAGGTTGGGATATTTAATTTAAGAAGAAATATGAAAATCTGAATGCTGACAACCCAAACTGACAAAAGTTCACGTTTCTAGGGAAGCAAAGAGATAGTCTTTCATGGCTTAATTAAGAAGGATTGAAATTCAAGTTACAGGCAGTAAAGCCCAGGGAAGTTTGATCCAAAGGAATGGCATTCAGTCGTTTTTCAGTCGAGCAGCAGCATCTTCAGGAGGTTCAGCTGCTGTTGGCAGGGCCTTAGAAACTGAAGACACAGTGGTTTTAAAAAGTTTAAAGAAGGGTGCAAGACTTAGAGAAATCATAAAGAGAGCCCGATAGGAGCACAAATATCTGCCCTTTGGAAATGTATTCATTTTAAAACTAGAAACTGCAGGATTCAGAACCTTGGACCCAGAATTCAGGCAGACAGACTGAAGTGATTTATAAAAATCGTTTATTAATTGCTCAGCAATCTGCGTCTCGTCAGCTAGGACTAGATGGCTGGAATCACTGTAGAGAGAAAAACTTGGGTTAGTGACCACGCAACTCTGACAGGGAACGATAGCGTGCATGTGGGTCACTAACCTGGTTATTAAGTTCATTCCAAGCCCAGAGGAAGGAATGGAATCCAGTTGGATGATTTTCCACGGCATGAAGCAGAAGCCGCCCAGAGAGTTCCAGGAGTCAAAGCAAAAGGTCCTGCAGAGC